AGTCATGGGACAGGGAGAGGCAATGCAAGATCCAACCGTGGTGACTGGTATGTTCCTCCTCAACAATTCTTATGCGTGCATTTTATTTGATAATGGTGTTGAGCGGAGCTTCGTAAGTCACAAATTCAAACACCTACTCAATCAAACTCCCCACAAATTGAACGAAACTTCCACGGTCGGAATGACCAATGGTAAAACAGAATCAACCAACGATATCTACGTAGGGTGCACATTAGCATTAAATAATCACTCCTTCCCAATCAATTTGATGCATGTTAATATTAGGAGCTTTGATGTGATTGTTGGCATGGATTGGTTAAGCCCCCACCATGCTGAAATTATGTGTCACGAGAAGGCCGTTCGCCTTCACCTTCCCAACAACGAAACCCTAATAGTGTATGGCGATAAACCCGACACAAACCTTCGACTCATTTCTTGCATCCAAGCACAAAAGTGCTTGCATAAAAAGAATCACACCTTTTTTGCTCATGTTGTGGATAAAAAAAGGAGGAGAAGAACATTAACGATATTCCGGAGGTACGTGATTTTCCCGACGTATTTCCCGAGGATTTTCCAGGAATACCCCCCGAGCGTCAGGTCGAGTTTCGAATCGATCTTGTACCTGGAGCCACTCCAATCGCCAAATCACCTTACAGATTAGCTCCTGCCGAAATGCAAGAGTTATCTAGCCAACTAAGTGAACTTCTCGACAAAGGATTCATCAGGCCGAGCTTTTCACATTGGGGAGCTCCGGTCCTGTTTGTCAAAAAGAAAGACGGATCTTTCAGGATGTGCATCGACTACCAGGAGTTCAACAAGCTTACTGTCAAGAATCGATACCCACTCCCTCGAATCGATGATCTATTCGACCAACTCCAAGGAGCCAGCTACTTTTCCAAGATAGATCTGAGGTTCGGATACCATCAACTAAGAGTCCGAGAGGAGGATATTCCGAAGACTGCCTTCCGAACCCGTTATGGACATTTCGAGTTCGTAGTCATGCCTTTTGGCCTCACAAATGCACCCGCGGCCTTTATGGACCTGATGAACCGAGTATGTCGGCCGTTTCTCGACAACTTCGTAATCGTCTTCATCGATGATATCCTCGTTTACTCTAAGAGTGAGGAAGAGCACAACCAGCACTTACGACAGATTTTGGAAACTCTAAGGGCGGAGAAGTTATACGCCAAATTTTCCAAATGCGAGTTCTGGATCCGCAGAGTGGAATTCTTGGGTCATGTAGTCAGTGAAGAAGGAATACATATGGACCCTACCAAGATCAAAGCTATTGAGGGTTGGGCAACCCCAAGAACCCAAACCGAAATCCGACATTTTTTAGGCCTTTCGACTATAATAACGATTGTTTGGATACTTTAAACGAAGCTTTTAACCACACAAGTATTAGGGTTTTAATACTACTATTTTACACATTCAGAAAATATAGGATTTTTTTGGGGAAAACAATTGTATACGATTTCGAAAACGATAAACTAACACACACAAGCAACTATACTTGATTTAAAACGAGACTTACAACTATTTTGATGAGAAAATATTGGATTTTCTGGTTTTTCCAACTATCACAGATTTTTTATACAAAATGCTTATGAACTCACCAACATATTTTATGTTGACGCTTTTCAAACGACTTGTATTCTCAGGAAATCAGTAAGCAGGTTTGTGAGCCGCGGATGCTGAATTATTTTGATGTATTTTGGAATTTACTCACCATTATTTCTTTTGTGTAATTCAAAAACATAAACATGATGTAAAACAATGTAAGTTTGATATATTGATGTATGATGTTTGGATTTGCTATGTTTCATTTATATTCAATTGTTATGATACTGCACAATGAAGTCACCCGCCTCCGGACGTTTCCGCCGTCTGGTCCGAGGGTGTGACATATGGTTAAGTTGCTCAAGTTCAGAAGTCTGATTTGGCCCCAATTGCATAGGTACAAAAGCTTGTAAGCTTGTGTGGTTAAGATACTAAAACTTCATCTAATGTGATGAGACATATTTTCGAAAAAAGGAGTGTAGTATAGCATCAAAGAGATGTTTGAAATATTGGAATACGATCCTATATGCTTCGATTCAATTATACATATACATTATTATAATCCAATTGTTAAACCTTACTATACTTTAGTTTAAGTTATGTGATTATAAATTTTGGTATTTTTAAGGGCCTCATATTTACTTTTGTTCAGGACCTTAAATCGGGCTTAAATTTAGAAAATATATAAGATGTGGATTTAGGAAAGAAATAAAACTTTGTTTTTTAGACCATTTTTAGACTTTCATAAACTGTTTGTGAAATTCTCATGATATTAGGGAAATTATTTCAACTATTTTTTTATGAGATTTATAAATTTGGTTTTTATGAGATTACTCGATTTGGCATAGCAATATGGACATGTAATTTGTAAATGTGAGGTTTTGAGAATCATTTTATTATTGTTCATAAAGTTAAAATGATATATTTTTTTTTAAATAAGCACATCCATTCGAGTTGACAATCTTACCAAACAACGTTGAAGCAAAATGAATCATTGACAAGAAGAGGTGGTCTATTGAAAAAGTGGTGAGAACAAGAAAAAAAAGCACCAAAAATAAAGTGACTTTTAATTAGGGATGAAAATTGAGTATTCGCGTTGTCGGATCCGAAAACGTAACCCGAATACGACCCGTATACTTAAACATGTATTTGTCAAACACAGACACAACCTAGTTCAACACCAACTCATATTAATCAAACACAGACACAACCTACTTGACTCATTCAATTATATGAGTATGCATGTTCGTGAGTCATAATTATGTTCACAAGTCATAAATGGGTTTACGGGTCATAATCGGGTTCGCTGGACACCGTCATGTAAGAGCATGTATTATACATCATCTTCATTCATTTTTAACATATTTCATATTATTTTTAAAGTTATTTTTCTTTATTTTTAATTAATAAAGCTTATATTCATAAAAAAAATTAGAATATCTTATATTAAACAATAGTCAATTTTTATAGAAGTGGAGCCATGGAGTGGAAAAATATTAGGATTTAAGACATTGTAGATTCAAAACATGATAAAGGACAAGATTAAGAGTTCAAAACTTACTGACAAACCCACGAATCTACCTATCAATTTGAACACCACCCATTTATTATACGGGTTACACGAGTAAAACCAAAAATGACTCGGACCCGTTTAAGGTTAACCCAAATGCTTCTTGGATTCATGTTGTATTTCGTGTGACGTCAATAATTGTCACCTTACTTGTAACCCCTTTTTACCAATTTTCAATCTCCAATCTCAGGGGAGTTTGTGTGTATCATAAATAAACTAGGGGTGGAAATGTAAATATCTACGACTCTCCGATAAAAGCATTTCTAGGAACTGTGCTTCCTGCACTAAACCTTATCCGACTCCCTACTTCCCTGAAGAAGGAAGATTGAAGACGGTGGTGACAGAGGTCGGAGAAAACTAACAGCAAATGGCGATGGCGTATGCAACCTCATCGTCTGTGATGTTCGGAACCTCACAGAACAACAGGTCTCCAGTTCTCTTCGGGTTTTCAACAATGGCAGCATCAGCCTCCTCTCCAAAGCACATCATCGGAGCTCGAACCAGTCGAAACTTTCAGATTCGCTGCGAAGAACAGAAAGTTCAACAACGGACACTTGCACCTGTTGAGCAGCGTTGGATGTTTACCGATTCCGATTTCAAAGGACCGGTACTCCTTTTAATCTCCCTTTTCTCGTCGTTTTCCGGCGAATTCTCTGTTGTCGAGCGAAATTAGAACGAATGTTAGAGCATTGCTTGACTACATGTTTGATTAGTTGCTCTTAATTTCGTAAACATTTGTTTAGCACAATTGTGCAGACATTACTCCATCATTGTGCCCTACGGCGATCTTGGATGCCTAATTTAGGTTGATAATTGTTCGAAAAATGAAAACGAAGATTCGCTTTCAAAAATTACAGATCGATTTATCAAATTAATACTCAATCATGTAACTACTCTTATCTCTAGCCTACTTGAGCTCCTCCATCTTATCAATGAAAGAATGTTGCATAGTCTTACACTTTTACAGTTCCTAGTTATACATCAAAAAGTAGAATGTGTTTGAGCTTCATAGAATCTGTATCCAAACTTGTGTATATAGGATGATGTCTGTTTGAAATCTGTAATATCTTCAACATTCTTCTATCGTTTGTGGACAGGATGTATGGAACAAAACATGGTACCCTAAAGCTGAAGACCATGTGAACACAGAAAAGACATGGTATGTTGTTGATGCAACTGATAAAATTCTTGGAAGAATGGCATCAGCTATAGCAGTTCACATACGTGGGAAGAATCTTCCAACCTATACTCCTAGTGTAGACATGGGAGCATTTGTAATTGTGGTATACATTCCTCTACTTCATCTATAACAATCTATTGTAATTAATCAACTATGAGCATAATGTATTTTGATGCTTGTAAATATTAGGTGAATGCTGAGAAAGTTGCTGTTTCGGGTAAAAAGAGGCTGCAGAAACTTTACAGGAGGCATTCAGGAAGACCAGGTGGAATGACAGTGGAAACTTTTGATCAACTTCAACAAAGGATTCCTGAAAGGATTATTGAGCATGCAGTTCGTGGGATGCTTCCTAAAGGAAGGGTAAGTTCACAAACTTTTTGTTTGATTTGAGTAGTTTTTTTGGTATGTAGTAATCAAAAGATGAAAACAATATTTTTCAAAATCACCCTTCTATTTTTCGTATTTTGCTTTCTCTTTTTTTGATAAATTTTATACTTATTTTGTAGCTTGGACGAGATTTGTTTACTCATCTTAAGGTGTACGAAGGACCCGATCATCCACACCAAGCACAAAAGCCCATAGATTTGCCGATAAGAGACAAAAGGATACAAAAACAAACCTAGATTCCATGTCTTTTTTTTTTTTGCAAATTAAATGTTGAACTTACCTTCTAATTAAATGCAAAAAAGATTATTTTTTGAGCAAAATATTGTACAAAATTTGATTCCAAGTATCGGGAACCCCAGCTAGGCACCAATGGCTACAATCTCGACCTTCATCACCGTATATGGACGGGTGACCATCTTTTCTTAGTTGGGTTAGAAGCGTTATATCCAATAAATAAGCTGGATTTTTCATTTTGACCAAAACGCCCTTCACAACGTGTTGCCCCGGGTATCTTTTCCCGGGAAAATGAAATCCATGAATAGGTAGGGTTTGCCCTTCACAATTCCGAACATTTGGCTCATTCCAATCTTTGCCCCTAATCACATAAAGTCGATTAATAATTCGAACAAAAGCACTCAACTTGATTCACTTTGGTATACATGACAGTACAGAACAAAACAGGTTACAACCAAAACCCTAAAAATACAGTACAATGACTTGGTGGGTCCTGGATAGGACTGTGCCTGTGTCGAGGACTGTGACTGATGGTAATGGGACAATATCATAAAAAGGTGGACAAACGGATGTTAATGAGACAAATTTCCCAAAAAAATGGGACAATGTCTTTACTTTTTAATCTTTAGAAAGTTTGTTTTGTTTGGTCCAATCTTGTCTTGTATAACAAATGCAGTCTGATTACATCAAATTATTTTAAGCTTACTCATCGTGAATGGCAGAGATCCCTTGAAAAAAGACTCGGGTCTTGTTAGGATTAATGTTCGAGTCAACCCATTTCGCCCATGTGGTCAAAGCGATCTTGTACGCTTCCATTCGTCCCATGTCTTTGTATATCTCTTCCCCGACTTGGTAGTAATCCCATCTGCACCCAAAAAATCAAATCATATGTAGGAATCGTTTCAATTAAGGTGATACTTTTCCATTTTTACTTAAACGAAGAAAGAATGATTTAACAGAGAAAGAAGAATGACACACGTTTGAAGGGATCCGCTGTGTGTCCACCAATGATAGCTATTGAAGATCAAAACATCTACTCCCTCCCATTTCCCTCCTCTACTGATCGAGTCCAATTTTAGAACTCGGCTCTCTTTCTCCACCACAAGGTCTACAAGAAACCCGTTTTTCAAGTACATAACCGAAACTCCATATTCCTTCGATAAACACAAAATAAAACTTCAAATTTGCAAAACAATACTCTGAGGCTTGAAATTTTATTATGGACAATATATATTATTAACTTACTGGGAATGAAAGATTTGAGAGTGGTCCTTCACGCGTGAAAGTATGCTTAGTGGAAGGAACCGAGTGGTAAAGCATGCATGCGAGTGATTGCCACTGGTTTGAACTCAGTGAGTCGCCCACAAACATGATTTTCTTGCCTCTATTTCTCCTCAGAAACCTTTTGCCGCTGAAACTGTACATTTCCATTTCATGACATTTAGAATGTAATTGAAAGGAAAAGGGTTAATGATTATGTTTGTATCATTTTGTCAATTTATTCAATCATATTTTGATGTTCACTAAGTTTTCTATAAATTTACGCAATAAAGTGTAGTTTATTATCCAATTTAAATTATGTATGTATAAATTAGTAAATTTATAGTAATAAATAGAAAAAAATGGCAAAAAAAAAAATCATTTCTCAACATAATTTGGTTAAATGCTAAAAGTTATTTGCAATTTTTCCTAGGGAAAACTATGATGAAATCCAGAGTCAAAATTAGCAACTATGATTGGAATCCATTTGTTTGAAACGTTGATAGAATGAACTGAAAGTCTGAAACAAGGATAAATTGATCCAGCAACAGATTATTCATTTATTCCAGCAATTCAGCATTCGAAATTTCTAGAAAACAATTTGTTCTTGAGCTCATAAACTAAAACCACAAACAGATCCCTTGCATTATTGAAAAAGCTACTCACCTCGCAAGAGCACAACGATGAGGCTGCCATCTGAACTTGAGGTACATCGTGTCATCTCTTCCGTTCTTCTGACAGTTCAATCCGGAGTCTACGAAGGGGCATTCAGATCCGTTATAAATCGGGTACGATGGATCCATAATCCAGCTTCCTTTGAACAAATTGCACTCGTTTGATTTTCTACTTCTACTTCTTCTTCTTCCTTCTCCATTGTCGTGAGCTTGAGAGATCAGAAGCGTTAGTAGAAAGAAAATGGCAGCGAAGGCGGTACGCAGAGTTGTTTTGAACATGGCGAACACGGAGAGCGAGAAAGGGGAGAGACAGCAAAAAAGACTGGTGGTTGGGTACTGTGATTGGCTGATTGCCTATATATATAAGGTTTAAATATATTTTTATTTAAAATATAGCAATTTTTTCCAAGGTTTTTTTTTACCGAAAAGCATGGCAAAAAATAATAATAATAATAACCATAATTTTTGTTTCTGCAGGCCACTTAAGAAATCTCTATTCTACTAAAAAAATATAGTTTTATTTTCTTTTGGACATATATCATTCTATTAAGCATCATAATTAATACATATTTTATTTTCTTTTTGTCATGTGTCATCTTATTATGTCTCTTAATTAATGCATGTCACTTGTCAACTCCATTTCAAATTTCAAATTTTAAATTTTCCACTCTAATTACATTAAATTAATAACATGAGAATAAAAATTAAAATAAAATTAATACAAACTATAAAATATAATTTCACATATTTATTTTAATCAATGATTAAAATTTATATAACTAAAAAAATCTATTAATTAATAATTTATTTAAAATAATTAATTAAAATTTTTGAGTTTTTACTATAAAATTTTAATTAATTTTGTAACCGTGGTTCTCACGGGTTATAAACTAGTGCTCAAATATACAAAAGCAATGGTACCAATATTAGTTAAAGACAAAATTGCAAAAATGGTCCCTGTGGAATGTATTTTTTTGGGTTTTAGTCCAAACCACGACTTTTTTGGGTTAGTCGTCCTTTTGATGTAGTTTCGTTGTGTTTTTAGTCTCCCGGTAAACTGAAATGACTGTAATGCCCTTGGATATTTATTTTTTTATGTTTTTTCTAGCTAATTTAAATGAAAAAGAAAATAAATAATTAAATTGGTGTCACAACTAGCCTTTTTGGCTAGGAAATTCCGTCCTCAAGTAAGCAAGTACTATTGTGAGACTTTTGCTAACACTCCTAAGTGT